AAGAAGAAGAAGAAGAAGAAGAAGAAGAAGAAGAAGAAGAAGAAGAAGAAGAAGAAGAAGAAGAAGAAGAAGAAGAAGAAGAAGAAGAAGCTGGAGACAGAGGTTGGGTGGGGTGGAAAATCAGGACTGTCCCCAGGAAGAAAAGAGGACGGGACAACAGCAGTGAAGATGTTTAAAATGTGTGTGTGTGTTGTCATGGAGAACTTTCGGAGGTCAGAGGACAGCTCTGGAATCAGCTCTCTCTCCTTCCACTTTGGCGTGGGTCCTAGGGATCCAGCTCAGGTCACCAGCCTTGTACAAGTGCCCTTCACCCACCGTCCCATTTGAGTCATTTAACGTTTTAAAGTTTTTGTTTGGGCAAGTGAGTTGGTCTGTGAAGTAAAAGCACTTGACGTAAACCTGATGATGTGAGTTGAGTTCAACCACCCTACACCACGGTGGAACTTCAAAACAAAAAACAAACCTGAACCGTTTGTTTGTTTGTTTGTTTTGAAGATCTTTAAATGTAGACCAGGTTAGCCTTGAAGTCACAGAGCTCTACCTATCTGTCTCCTGAGCTGGGATCAAAGCTGTCTACTAGGGCTGGAGAGACGGCTCTGAGGTTCAGAGCAACGACTGCTCTTCAAGAGGTCCTGAGTTCAATTCCCAGCACCCACAGGGTGGCTCACAACCATCTGTAATGAGACCTGGCGCCCTCTTCTGTGTACATAATAAATAAATAAATCTTAAAATTAAAAATTAAAAAAAAAAAAAAAAAAAGCTGTCTGCTACCACTCACCACCCCCAGAAGTCTTTATGTTTAGGGCATTTCTTCCTTTGGGGTGGGAGGTGGGACAGGACCTCCCTGCGTAGCTCTGGCTGGCTTGGAACTATGTAGACCAGAATTTGCAGGAATCCTCTGCCTCAGCCTCCTGAGTACTGGAACTGGGGTCATGAACTACGCCTCGATCTTGGCTGTTGGGCTGAGGCGGGGTTCCGCTCTGGAGACACGCTAGGTTGGAATTGAAGATTCTTTTGCTTCAGCTTCCTGATTGCTGGGATTACTGGCACAAACCACACCTGGCACTTAGGAGTCATAAAGCTTTCCTCGGAATGAGTTCATCGTTTTGTGTGTGCATGCACCCACGTACGCACATGGGTAAGCGCGTGGTTATTGAGACCAGGGGACAGTTTGGGGAGTCCGTCTCTTCCTTCTCCCACCATGTGGGACCCAGGGATCAAGGTTAGGCCAACAGGCTTGAGTGGCAAGCGCCTTTACCCTCCGAGCCATCCGCCAGCTCCTGAGCCATCATTATGAGAACACTTGTGCCATTTAAGGTTTAAGTCAACAGGTATCATTTTCTCCTGTTACTCTACCTTCTGTCTTATAGTACTGGGGATTGAACTTGGGGCCTTGTGCATGCCAGACAAGCATTCTACCACTGAGCTACACCGCCAGTCTCCCACGGGTCATCTCTCTTATGTCAGTTTGACCTAGAGGGGGGACAGAGTCATAAGGCACCTTGCACCTCCCCTGAGGGGCACCTCAAAACAGGACACACACGGAGACGCAAGCTCAGCACCGTTTTCAAATAATTTATTAGGAATTCAAAACAAAATAAGACCTGGAAAAAGAAGTTACAGATGTGGAGAGACACCGAGGGTGGAATTTGCTGGCTTCAAAAACACCATGTAACATCCTTTAAAAAAAAAAAAAAATGTTTTTTTCTCAAACAAATCAGAAAATGGAGTCCCGGGTCCCTGAACCCACAGTTAGGCCCAGTGGGGTAAGCGGGCCCAGGGACAGGGGCGGGGGCGGGAGGGGGGGAAGGGGGGGCTAAGTCTCCCGGGGCTCAGCTCAGATGCGTAGAAAATTAAAAATAAAAAACCAGTAAAATGCAGCTTCTCTTTTATTAGGAAATATTTAACAAAAACAAAAACCAAAAAAAAAACAAAAACCGAAAACAGCCGCGCATCTTGGTGACGAAGATTATTGCTTTGAGTTCTCAGGGCTAATGGGTTGAATGAGCGCCTCACACGGACAATTAACTCTCCAAGGGGGGTTTTGAGGGTTGGGGGGCTCTGCTGGGGAAGGGAGCTTAAGCCCCCAGCCTCAGACTTGGGTGGGGAAGGACACAGAGAGGGGACAACAGCAGGTAGGCCTCAGCCCTGCCGCACCAGCCAGGTCTCACTCCACGTTCACACCCTGACCCTGTCTCTTTCCTCCGAAAGGGGCTCCAGGGGCTCTGGATGCGGGACTATCCTGGTGGGAAACTTCAGTGAGAATGTGGGGGTTCCCTGAGAAGCCCTTTGCTTTTCCTGGCATCTACTCCCTACTGAAGTGCCCCTGACGCCCACCCACGGTGGAGGAGGGCTCAGAGCAGAAACCATGAGGGGCCCCGCCTAAGCAGTGGCCAGGAGGCCTTTGGAGAGCTAATTCCTTCCCAGCAGGGGCTCTAGGCAGCCCTCCTCTTCCCTGGCCCCTTGCCCGCCCCCCCCACACACACTGGGTTTTTGGGGAGAGTCGGCCCAAGGCCTTGAACCCAGGAGGCCTGAGAGGGTGTGTGGGGCCTGCCATGGCGAGAGCTGAGGTCTGCAAGCTTACAGTAAGTCTGAGGAGGAGGGGACGGACGGGGAGGGGGGAAAGGGGAGACCTTGGCCCAGTGGGGGTCAGGCAATGCCCACACCCCAGGGGGCCTCAGAGAGGGTGGGTGGGGATAGGACTTCACCTCACAGTATTTACATATGATACAGGACGGGATGGTTCCAGGGGCTCGGCCTGGCCTCCCCGCCGCCCTGCCCTCCCTCCGCCCCCCTCTCCAGGACTGGAGGGAGGTGGCCAGGAGACCACACCCATAGATAGACACTTTGTTCTCAGCTGGTGGGGGGGCACCTGGCCCCTTGCCCCCTGCGGCCTGGGGCTTCACATTCACAAACCTAGAAACAGTTTAAAAACAGTTCCTTTAAAAAAAAAAAAAAAAAAAATGTAAAGAGCAAAAGAGGGAAAAGCCAGAATAAAAAAAAACAGGGTTGGGGCTGCGGCCCGCAGCCGCCTCCCTCTGTCCCCACGCTAGCTATGCGCAGATACAAAAGCCTTCTGGGGTGTTCTAAACGGGGCAGCAGGGGAGGACGGGGCAGACCCGAGAGGGGAAATCTGGTAGGGGTGCGGGTGGGGGGGGGGGCAACCGGCTAATCCAAAATAAATAAAAGCGAACAGGGAAAGGGGGGGGGCGCAAGGTCGGAAAAGGGAGGTTAGTAAGGGAACCAGATGTGTGGGGACAGCAGAGCAGGGCCCAGGGGCTGGGGGACAGGCAGTAGCGGTCCGAGGCGGAGCGGCAGCGGAGGGGCTGGGCTGCTGCGGCTGAGGTGTCCCCATCCCCTGGCTGGCTCACTCTGGTCCTCAGTCAGCTGCAGGCTGGGGCGCTGAAAGGGAACGGCAAGACAGACAGAGGGCGCTGTAGCCCCCCTGGCCTCTCTCTCTGGGGCCCACAGGATAGGCGTGCCCCCTTTCCGAGTTCAGACTTTACACTTCCTGTCCCCTGGGGGGGCTGGCGCTGGGTGCTTACCCCAGATCTTGAGCGGCTAGGTTTATGTCCTGTTCCCTGGGAAGCTGATCTGAACCCCACTGAAAACAGCACCTTGTAAGCTATTTGGAAGTATCTCGTGTGTTTGCTGTATTCTTACATTTTTAAAGATTTATCTTGTTATTATGTTTTTAACTATGTTCACTGCTGGGCATGGTGGTGCATGCCCTGTAAGCAGAGGTAGGCAGATCTCTGATCTGAGGTCAGCCTGGTCTCCGACAGCAAGTGCCAGGCCAGCCGCAACTACACGGTACGACTGTCTCAAAAATGAAAATGTTCACTTGTGTGTATACGTGCACGTGAGTGCAGGATCCTGTGGGGAGAAGAGAGCACTAAATCTGAACTCCCGGAACTGGAGTCACGGGTGGTTGTGGGCCACCCAGGTGTGAATTCAGGTTCTCTGCAAAGGGTAGTGTGTGTTCGTAACCACTGAACCATCTCTACCGCACCCCGTTATTTTTACACCTTTTTAAAGATTTACTGTGTGTATTGTGGTTAAGGGCACTTGTTATGTAGAACCTGGATTTGGCTCCCAGAACCCACATGGTAGCTCACAGGCACCTCCAACTCCAGCTGCAGAAGTCCTGATGCCCTGTTTGGCCTCGGCAGGCACCATATACATTCCTAGTGAGCATACATACATGCAGGCAAAATATGCCGACACATAAAATAAATTTAAAACCAAACCAAACCTGGACAGGGCTGGGGCCGCACACAGTGTAGATGATGCTAGGAATGCACAAGCCCTGCGTTCAATCCCCAGCACAAATTAAAACCCTCGATGTGTGCCAGGCGGTGGTGGTGCACACCTTTAATCCCAGCACTGGGGAGGCAGAGCCAGGCTGATCTCTGTGAGCCAGCCTGGGCTACCAAGTGAGTTCCAGGAAAGGTGCAAAGCTACACAGAGAAACCCTGTCTCGAAAAACCAAAAACAAAAAAACCCCTTGATGTGTAAGGCTTTCCTTTGGGAACTTGGAGTCAATTTAGACAGAAAGCAATGTGGGGTGTTATCAATTGCAAAAAACGCTGTCAGTCCAGTGAAGCACAATTAACTTATAATTCATTTACATATTTGTTCTATTAATTAATTAATATTTGGCTTCTTGAGACAGGGTCTTGCCACACATATCAGGCTGGCTTTGCACTTATAATCTACCGATCTCTGTCTCACCAGTGCTGAGCTAAGTTATATGTTCTTTGTGCAGCTGTGTGTGTTTGTATGGTGTATTTACTTGTTGGTGTGGGTGTATGCACATTCAGGTGAGGACGTAAGTGCGCTCGTGTGCATGTGCATGTGGAGGCCAGTGGCTGGTGGCAATCGTCTTCTACCATTTGGCTAGAATGGCTGGCTAACAAGCTTCAGGGACCCGCCCCTCGGGGCTCGGGGCTCCCAGGCGTGGGCCACTGTGCTCACCCTTTGATGTGGGATCTCAACTCCGGTCTTCCTGCTTGCCCAGCAGGCCCTTGACCAACTCGGCCAGCCCTCCCGCTCTCTTTTTGAGACAATCTCACTAGGTAGCCCTAGCTGAGCTAGAGCGTAAAGGAATCCTCCTGCCTCAGCTTCCCAAGTGCAGGGATTGTAGGCCTCTGCCACCGTGCCTGGCTTAATTTACATCAGACTGTAGCAAGCTAAGCAACTTCTTGGGTTTGTTGGCCACTGAGGGCATCCAGGCCTGTCTCCCCCCCCCCCCCCCCCCCCCCCCCGTAGGCTGTGCACGCTATTTAGTGGTTAATGGGGCTGGCATTCACAATACCGGCTCCGCGGCGGCCCCACCCACCTCCAGTTCCTCACCTCCTGCCACCTCTCCCCTGCTTCAGTGGTACCCATTGGTGAAGGCTGTGGCAATCAAGGGACCCTGAAAAGAAAAGAATTAGACTCCTAGGATCCTGGGCCAAGTTCAGACAAACTGGGGGGCTCCTCCTGTCCCCCCCGTGGGAACCCTAGGGGGAGACGCAGATTCTTCTAGCTGGCACGTGTTACCCCGATACAGATCTACTCGTGTACAAGGCAGGGCCTGGGAACCTGCACAGAACCAGGGATAAAACGAGGGCAACCCTGAGCTGGACTCTGACCACACGGGAAGGAGAGAGACACCCTCTCGTCCTTCTCACAGACACTTTCTTCTCTGCCATCATCCCTCAGTCTCACTCTGCCCGAGAAGATGGACAAGGCCTCTCCCTCCCCCAATTTCAGAGACCTCCCAGGATGAGGGGGTGAGGTGGAGGCCGTGAGGCCTCGCCACTCACCCCAAGACTGTGACCGAAACCAGTGCTGGGGGCGGGGCTGGCGGCGCTGATGTAACTGCTGACCCCCGAGTCCTGGTTGGCCGCCCCGTAGAGCTCAGCCATGGGGCCGGGGCTCGTAGTCCCCAGGAAGCCCCCTGTGCGGCTGGGAGTAGAACCTGGAGGAGGAGCCATCGTCCAGGGGTGAGAGCCTGGTAACCCAGAAAGAAGACGGTGATAGCCCGGATGCCCACGGCCACCCCACCACAGCTACTCCATCCCTGCCCCGGACCTGTAGATGCCCCTCCCTGGGGATCACGAAGGCCTCCTCCCCAGCCCCCACCACGTTCTGTCTGACCACCGGACAGCCTCCTCTCCCTGTGAGCCCCTCCAAGTCCTCCTCTCTTGCGGCCCAGCACCTTGTCTAAGGCTGGCCTAGGTCACCCTGTTGCTAGAAGCCATTCCCACCCCCACCCCTCACCCCCCCCCTCCCTGCTCCTGTACTTGACCCATGCAGACTAACTGATCTCTCAGCCGGAACAATCCTTGCCCCTTCTTCCATAAGCCTTTCCTCGGCCTCCCCCAAAGCACCCGCCGGCAGCTCCTTAGGACCCGATGCCTCTAGAGCCGCAGCAGCGATCTTCCGGGTTACGCTGCCCCTCGGCACACCGACCCCCCAACAGCTTGTGCATGCTCTGGGGGGACGCTGCCAGCGTCGCCCTCGGCTGGCTCACGTACTCAGCTCAGCCCACGTGTGGGTGAGTGGATAAACGAACCCCTTTGTCAGTGGGTGGAGCAGGAGCCTCTTCCTCCCGGACTCCTCCACCCCCTCGGGAGCTCCCTTCCCAGAAGGCCTCACCTGTCCCTCGGACTACAGCCGCTGCCGCCGCCGCCGCCGCCATCGGACCATATGCGGTGAGAGGAATAGCTGGAAGACAAGGTGTGGGCACTGAGCGCGAGGAGGAGGGGACCCTACCACCTGGCAGGCTTCTCCTACCTGGCCCCAGCTTGGAGAAGGAGGTCACTGTGTGTCCCCCCCGCCCCGGGTCAAAGCACAGATAGCCGCTGTGGCTAGCCATTCCGTGCCCTGACCTGACTGACGGGTCCCAGGGAGCAGCCCAGCCTCAGTTTCCACTCTGGACTCTAGGACACCGCTGATGTGCTGTGGCAGAGGCAGTAGCTCCTTGTCCACAGGGCCCTTGGCAGGGGACATGATGCTCCTTGTCACCGACTGGCCCAGGGCACAGAAGCCAGGCCCATGACCTCAAGGCAGGACTGGCTGAGTACTGTGAGCTGCAGGGCTCCCCACGGGGTCAGGCTGGTAACACCCCAGCTCTGCTATGTCTTGCTGCTGTGGGTCCTGCAACCCCCCTTGCGCTCCCCAGGGCCGCCCTGACTACCAGGCTAAGTGATCCATGCCCCTCTCTTGTCCTCTACGTCTGTTTCCCTCCTCAGTTCTGTATACAACAGGTGCTTAATAAATGCCTGCACTAAAAAGGTAAAAGAGACTTCTGCTCTTTTTTTTTTTCCCCTCCATTTTCTTTTGGCTTTCTGAGTCATGGCCCAGGCTGGTCTCAGACTCCCAAGCGCTGGGGTTGCAGGTGTGTGCCATTGTAACTGGTTCCACACAGTGCTGGGGACTGACACCAGGGCTTCGGGCATACGAGGCAAGCAGTCCAACCCCCGGAAATCTTTAGCAAAGTCGCTGTGCAGGGGATTCAGACCCAGCGCCTGCGGCTCCTGAGCTCTGGATCCCCCTTTCTGCAAACCGTCATCTGGCTGGCGGCTTCTCGCTGAGACTTCACCCCCTCGCCTTCTCCTGGCACTTCCGCCAGCATGAAACCCTACGCGCTCTGCACAGCTTTGTGCTTTATCTTTCCAAGAAACTTCATTTACTTAATTAATCCATCCGTCTCTACTAGCACACCAGCTTCTGGACGGCAGGGGCCTTATCTGCTTATTTTTATACGTCCCCCCAGTGCCTGGCCCAGAGTCGGCACAATAAATATGTACTGAACACATAAAAGACATACCCAAATCTCTTTGTCCCAAGCCAAGAGAAAAGTTCAGACACCGCATTCCCAAGAGCTACGGAGACTGGAACCCAGGCCCTCCCCCTGCCAAGATACCATCAGCATTGACATTTCCTGACTCAGGCCTACCGGGTAGAAGACCCTGGGCACTAAGGTCTAACCTTTCACAAAGCAAACTCTTAAGTAGCCGACCTCACTGAGCATTTATCAAAGTGTAAAGAATTATTCTTGGCATAATACACATGTGTTATCCCCGCTATCCTGAACATATTCAGTAACAGCAGGGCCTTGCTCCTTCTGCCCCCCCCCCCCCGTGGCCTGGTGGCACACGTTGCACACAGTAGGTCCTCACACAGAGGTCTTACGTGAGGAGACAGGAAAGCCCTCTGCTCCAAGTGCCAGAGCACTCTGTTCGTTTAGACGGCCATCATCTCCTCCACCACGGGGACTCTGCTTCCTGCTCCCTGTCCTTTGCCCTGGGTCTCTCTTCTCCCACCCCTGTTCTGACAGACCGCTGGGGCATCCCTTGGAAGGAAGATCTGAAGCAGTCCCCCACACACACAGAGCCAGGTCGGGGGCGGAGTCCGCAGGTCGGGTGGAGGAGAAGCGGGATGGACAGAGAAACCCCTGGGGCCCACCCTCATGTGCACAGTACTCCCCGCTCAGCCTCGCCCCAGCCTCACAACTGAGTTGGTTGGGGCCCTCACGGACAGGGACTTTGACCTCATTTTCCCAGTGGGAGCCCACGGACATCCCTGGGGTCAGATGGAGCCAACAGATACGTGTCACTTGGCCCACAGTCTCTTGAGTTGTGTGGGGGGGGCGTTACTATGACAGAATAAAGATTGAACATCCGTATGAGAGAGTCAAAGCTGGGAGTCCTGGCTTCTCGGGAGAAATGAGACGTGAGTGCCGCACCTGGAGCCCCTCAAGGATGGGCTGGCACTCAGTGCAGGCATGCCCGGGTCCGTGTACCGAGTCCCCAGAGCCCACTGTGCTCCAAGTCTGTGACCCTGGTCTGTTCACCACTGGGGACCAGAGCTTCCGTGGTGCCTGGCGCACGGGAGGCGCTGGATCAATATTTGCTGAACGGATGAATGAGTGACTTTACCTCCATCTGCTCTGCTTGGCCTCACGCCCCACCCTCGAGGGCCAGGTAGCTGAACCAACTGGCCAGTGCCCAGGTACGGTCTGCCGTGTCCTCACAGCCATGGGGCTGGCGGGCGGGCGGGCGGGCGGGAGGATGGGGTCCTGCCAGCTCTCCCCGGGGATGGTCCCTCTCCCTCTCTCTGTCTCCCCACGTGGCCTATGAGATACACGGAATCCGAGCCACTGACCTGTAAGCTCAGGGAGGACTGGGGCGCTCGGGAGAGGGGTCCGCTCTACACGGAATTCTAAAATGAAACGTAAAACAGCTTAGGAAGAAGTAAGGGGGCCCCTCCGGCGTGGCCGAGGGGGGAGAGATGCACCCACGGGGACCATGGGTCGGGGGACAGGCCATGCATGGGACTCGAGGACCCCGGGATGGAGAGTGCACAGTCTCAGTGGGTGAGGCGGGGGCAGAGGGGTGGCACAGCCCAGAGAGGAAGAGGAAAGAAGGAAGGAAGCCAGAGGCACCAGCTAAACCTGGGCACAGGCAACACCGGCACTAGATTCTTGACTTTTGCTGCTGACAGTCGAACCCAGGTCTTTACACAAGCCAGACGAGCACTCTACCACTCAGCGGTACTCCAAGCCCCGTTTTTTGGGGGGGGTTTTTTTGGTTTTAAGATTTATTTATTTTAGCCCTGCAGTGGTGGTGCACACCTTTAATTCCGGCACTCGGGAGGCAGAGGCAGGTGGTTGAGGCCAGCCTGGTCTACAGAATGAGTTCCAGGAGAGCCAGGGCTACACAGAGAGATCATGCCTCAAAAACACCAAAAGGATGTATTTTGTGTGTATGAGTGTTCTGCCTACAAGTATATATGCATACCACATGCATACCTGGTGCCCTTGGAGCTCAGGAGGATTTCAGGTCCCCTGCAACCGGAGTTACTGACAGCTGCAAGCCACCATATGGGTGCTGAACCTCAGTCCTCTAGGACAGCCAGTGTCCCTGGGTGGGGTCAGCGCCTCGCAGCACGCCTTCCCCGGGGATCTTTGCAGCAGCTCCCCCGTCTTTCGGGAGCAGTTGGTTTCTTAGTCTATAAAATGGGATTCCTGAGAGGGTCGGACAACATGCGTACTAAGGACTCCAAGTTAAACAGCCCAAGGGCACAGGATACAAATGCTTAGGGACCCTCCAGTAACTAAGACTCAGATGAACTGGGATGTGGCTCAGTGGTGGAGCACTTGCCTGACACTCTTAAAGCCATGGATTCAATTCCCAGTACTGGGGGGGAAAAGATAATAATAATAATAATAATAATAATAATAATAATAATAATAATAATAATAATAATAATGGCAGGGGACTGAGGTTGTAGCTTAGCTGGTTGGGTGCCTGACCTGTGATCACGGCACTGAAGAGGTGCCGTGTGGCTACATGGTGAGTTTGAGGCTAGCCTAGGCTACAGGAGCCTCTGTTTCAAAGACAAATGACCAATATTAAGAGATGAGGTTGTGCTAGAGTACTGGTGTGTGTGAGGTCCCAAGTCCATTCCCAGCACTACATGAATGAATAAGGGCCGGGGAATGATTTGAGACTTCAAGGAAAATGATAATAACAGGCCAGCTCAGAATTTTGTTGAAATTTCTGTTTAAATGGCAGGTCTAGTGTTCTCTTTATGCTGAGTATTTCAGCTTTAAGAGTCAGCATGGCCGGGCAGCGGTGGCATACGCCTTTAATCCCAGCACTCGGGAGGCAGAGACAAGTGAATCTCTTGTGAGTTCGAGGACAGCCTGGTCTAGAGAGCGAGATCCAGGACAGGCACCAAAACTACACAGAGAAACCCTGTCTCCAAAAAAAAAAAAAAAAATCAGCACGTAGGCTCTCAGTCTGCGTGACCCGTAAGGGCTCAGTACAGCACCTCTAAGTAGGTTTGTAACAGCCTGACTGACATTGGCCCTTGGGGAAGCCCCCACTACAAGTCCAGTGCTGTCTCTGGTAGAAGTGGCAATCCTGGAGTCGGGTAGGGGTTCGGGGAAGGGAGGAGACAGACAGAGAATGAACGGCTGGGCGAGAACTGTACCATGCAGTGCCACAGGAGGCGCCCCGACTCTCAGCTTCTGTGGAGGGGGTTGAAGGAGGAGGGGGAGGACTTCCTTCCTCAGACATGCCCTTCCTTCCAAGTCTCCAGTTAGGTGGACCCCCCAGCCATGCACCCCAGACACCACCACCCCGAGGAGTCAACACTGCCTGGGGACTGGGGGCATGCTGGCGGCAGAGGGTCACCCCAGCAGGACTTACCAGGGAACTGGTAGGTGTAGCCAGGGGCAAGGCCTGTGTAACTCCGGCTGGCGTAGGTCGTGGCTTGGAAACCTGGGTAACCTGATGGGACAAGGGGGCAGTATGAGACGCCTGGCCCACAGCTGGGGGGCGGCCGGCTCGGACCTGAGCTGTTCATCTTCTTCCCACACCTTGCCACAGATAATCCTCAGTTTCCCAGAGGCCTTCTGTGCACACAAGTCTCATGCTAAGCACAGCGTCCATTTTATTATCTCATTAAACCTTGCAACTACTGTAATGGGAAAACACTGCAAGGAGTCTCAAGGTACAGGTGTGGAAACTGAGGCACAGAGAGACGGCACTGACCGAGAACAATGCAACCTTGATACCCAACTCCCTCCCACTGTGCCCACCCTTCCTCCGGTCCCCATTTCCTGCCTCCTCAGCCACACTGATTTGCTGCTTTTCAAGTGTGCAGAGCGCAGCCCGGGGTCTCCGCACGCACAGTCATCTCTGCCTGTGCCATTCCCCGAGATATCACTGAGGCCTTACGATGGTAGCGTCAGCCGGGCATCCCGACTCGAAGCTTTCGGCCTGAGGCTACAGTTTCCACCATGTCATCCGCTCGCGGTTTCTGTGAGGGCGGATAGTCCACCTCTCAAAGAAAACGCCTCAGTCAGTAATAACGGAGCGCTGGAATTCAAGTTCAGACCTGATTAGCTCCAGGTTCTGCACCACCAACCTCGCTCCTTTTATTTTTTTAAGTTTCGTGTGTGTGCATGTGCGCGTGCGCGTGCGTGTGCGTGTGTGTGTGTGTGTGTGTGTGTGTGTGTTGTACTGGTGCACGCGCACAAGCCTGCTCTCAGGGACTGATGCTGGGTGTTCTTTTCTGTCACTCTCCGCCTTATTTTGAGGCAGAGTCTCTCACTGAGCCTAGAGCTCACCGATCGGCTAGACCGGGTGACCTGCGAGCCCCCGGTACAGAGGTGACAGCCGTAAGCTGTGACCGGCTCTCAAGGGGCTCTCTGGGGCTACGAACTCAAGTCACCACGGCTGCGCAGCGACCCTCCGCCCACGGAGCCAGTACCCGGCAAACTGTTGATTGCAGACAGGCTTTTCCTGCACTTCAGTGTTGGAAATGAGGGTAAGGCAGCTCACAGATCACAGAAGCCAAAAGCAACAAACAAAAGACAGAGGCATTTCTCAAAGTGCAGGGTGGACGTGAGGACACGAGACGGGACAGTGGAACGCCTCATTCCAGCCCCATCCTGTCTGGGGGGGCCAAGATCTGCGAGAAAGAACAACTCTGGGGCTGGGATGCATCCCACTCAGCAGAACGCTCGCTGCGGCACATAAATAAAGCCCGAGCTCAACCTCCAGCATGACGTAAACTCATGACAGCGCGTGCCTGCCGGTCCTCTTGGGAGTTCGAGGTTATCCTTAGCTGCACTGTGAGTTCTAGACTCTCCTGGGCTACAGGGTCCATCTCAATAATAATAATAATAATAATAATAATAATAAAATAATAATAATAAAATCAAATAAAATAAAGCCTGGCAGTGGTGGCATGTGTGTTTTAATCCCAGCACTTGAGAGGCAGAGGCAGGCAGATGATCTCTGAGTTCAAGGCCAGCCTGGTCTATAAATAGTGAGTTCAGGATAGTCAGGGATACACAGAGAAATCCTGTCTCTAAATAGATAGATAGATAGATGATAGATAGATAGATAGATAGATAGATAGATAGATAGATAGATAGATAGATAGATAGATAGATAGATAGATAATAAAATAAAGTAGAGCCGGGCATGGTGACACATACTTTTAGTTCCAGCCCTTGAGAGGCAGAGGCAGGTGGATTTCTGTGAATCCAGCCTGGTTCAGGACAGCCAGGGCTACAAAGTGAGACCCTGCCTCAAACAAACAAATAATCTGGCAACAGCAAAATAATCTGCTCAACTAGTAACAGGAGAAAATAGTACATTAGATGACAGTATTTCATCAATATAAAATCCCAACGCTGACGACCACGTCGTGAGGTGAGGTGAGGTGGGAGGGTCAGTTCAGTGGGTAAGAGCATCCACCCCTACCCCTGACGATCTGGGTTCGTGCCCAGCGGAGCCCACTGTGGAAAGGAGGAATCGACTCCTGAAAGTTGTCCTCTGACCCCTACGTGTACCCTGTTGCCTGTGTACACCTGCTCTCATCTACACACAGTCACAATAAATAAAAATAAAAAGTTGGGGGGCCTGCAAGATGGCTTAGAGGGCAAAGCACATGTTAAGCACGCCTGATGATCCCCGAGTGTAAGTTTCCAGAACCCACGTGAAGAAGGAAGACGAGAACTGATTGAAACTGTCCTCCAGCCTCCACAGGATGCACACACACGCGTGTGCCCCCCCCGACACACACACACACACACACACACACACACACACACACACACACACGCACAAATAATAACACTTTAAAAATTAAAAAGTACTCTAAGCACACACCTTTAATCCCAGCACTCAGGAGGCAGAGCCAGGCAGATCTCTGTGAGTTTGAGGCCAGCCTAGTCTACAGAGCAAGATCTAGGACAGGCACCAAAACTACACGGAGAAATCGTGTCTTGCACCAAAACTACACGGAGAAACCCTGTCTCAAAAAACCAAAATAAAAATAAAAAATAAAAAGATAAAAAAAAAAATAAAAATTACTCTAAAGCCCTCAGAAGCAGAAGCAAGCGGATCTCTGTGAGTTTAAAGTCAGCCTGATCTACATAGTTTAAGGCTAGCCTGGTCTACAGAGCAAGTTCCAGAATTGACAGAGTTGTACTTCTTTACAAGATTTATTTTATTACTATTATTATTATTTATTTTTGTTTGTTTGTTGTTTTTTTATTTTTGAGACAGGGTCTCATTATGTAACTCTGGCTGTCCTGGAACTCACTATATAGACCAGGCTGACCTTAAACTTTCTATGTAGATCAGGCTGGCCTGAAGCTCAGAGACCTACCTACCTCTGCCTCCCAAGTGCTAGGATTAAAGGCATGCACCACCAAGCCCAGTTCCTTAAAGATTTATTTTTAGTTTTTAATTATGTGTACACTATGTGACTGTGTGGGAGCCCTCAAGTCTTCACAGAGGCTACAAGACGGGCCAGGTCTCCTGGAGCCAGACTCAGGAGCTGCTAGACATGGGAACTGGAAACCAGACTCAAGTCCTCTGTAAGAGTTACTATTATTATTATTCCATGTGTTTCTGTGTATGTCTGCCACATGTGAGCCGCCTGCATGCCAGGGTGAAGAACGGCAGTATCCCTTGGAACTGGGGGTGCAGGCAGTTCTGGGTGCCGGGAACGAAACCCAGGATCTCTACACAAGCAGGAAATGCTCTTACCTGCTGAGCTAGCTCCCTGGCCCCTATATACGTGTGTGTGTGTGTGTGTGTGTGTGTGTGTGTGTGTGTGTGTGTGTGTGTGT